TTTGAAAGATCATAAATGGTTGGATCTATTAAATTGTGATCTGGTTTTTCGGCTCGGCCCAACTAAATCATAACGCTTATGACAGTTTTATGCCCTTTCTATGGCTTTTGTTTTGGCCGCCCCTTTTTTCTGTTGCCCTTGCAGAGGGTATCATAAGTTTGTCATGCAATGTGTCAAGGAGACATCTTCGATATTCCAGATAAAGTCATGCCCGTCTGTCCGTCCGTCTGTCTGTCTGTCTGTCTGTCTGACTGTCTGTCTGTCTGTCTGTCTGTCGGTCTGTCTGTCCGTCCGTCTGTCCGTCTGTCTGTTTGTCTGTCTGTCTGTCTGTCTGTCTGTCTGTCCGTCCGTCTGTCCGTCTGTCTGTCTGTCTGTCTGTCTGTCTGTCTGTCTGTCTGTCTGTCTGACTGTCTGTCCGTCTGTCTGTCTGTCTGTCTGTCTGTCTGTCTGTCTGTCTGTCTGTCTGTCTGTCTGTCTGTCTATCTATCTATCTATCTATCTATCTATCTATCTATCTATCTATCTATCTATCTATCTATCTATCTATCTATCTATCTATCTATCTATCTATCTATCTATCTCTCTATCTATCTATCTATCTATCTATCTATCTATCTATCTATCTATCTATCTATCTATCTATCTATCTATCTATCTGTCTGTCTGTCTGTCTGTCTGTCTGTCTGTCTGTCTGTCTGTCTGTCTGTCTGTCTGTCTGTCTGTCTGTCTGTCTGTCTGTCTGTTTGTCTGTCTGTCTGTCTGTCTGTCTGTCTGTCTGTCTGTCTGTCTGTCTGTTTGTCTGTCTGTCTGTCTGTCCGTCTGTCTGTCTGTCTGACTGTCTGTCCGTCTGTCTGTCTGTCTGTCTGCCTGTTTCGCTGCAAACTAGTCTCACAGTTTTAAAGCTATCCTCGTGAAACTTTGCGTAGATCCATCCTTGTGGCGGATCGGATAACTATATCATATAGCTGCCATAGGTACGATCCGTTGAAAAGCAGGTTCTGGTTGGGCAAAATATTCGTATTTTTCAAGATATTTTCAACAAACTTACGAGCCCCTACGAACTTTACTTATCGCACATATCTGCAAAAGGGTATTAAATCTTCGGCGTGCCGTAGATCTCAACATTTTCTCATTTTTTGTCTATGATGGAATGTTAAATAGTTGATTGTGTATATTTCTGCATGTTCTTCATTATTTTTTATGGCTTTTCTAGAGTTGTGGCATGCGAATCGGTGCCAGTTTAGGCGCTGCTCTTCGATAGATCATCGAGCGCTGCCATTTGCCATTTAATGGCCGCACATAAATGATCAAACGAGCGTTTTGTTCGTCTTTATAATAGTTAAATATATACCAAAAAACAAATAATAATAATAAGCGGACGCCCTGCTAGGTTTTTAATGTGCTTGACGCAGGCGCAGGCATTAGATAGGCATTAGATTTGTAGAATATATCCAGCAGCTATATATAGAGTATATGCCATAGATCGGTGAGTTCCTAAAGTGCTCGCTAATCGGTTATATTTGTATAAGAAACGCAGTGTAGTTTGTTAAACATGGACGCAAGTCGAATACAAATGTTGACAATTGTTTTCCGTGCCAGGCCCCAACGAAAAATGAACGATACCCTTTTACCTTGAAGATATTATAATTGTGTAATGAAATGTGTAACGCAAAGAAGGCATCACCCAAGCCCATAAAGTATAAATCTTTACATAGGTCTTTCCGTCCTTCTTCGGAACTGGACAGATTGAACAACTATATCATATAGCTGCTTTGGGTACGATCTATCGAAAAGTAGATTATATTCGGTTTTTCAAGAAAGGGCATTAAATCTTCGGCCTGGCAAAGATATACTTACTTTTTCGTTCATTTCTAGCCTTATCCAGCTACCATTTTATATTAATTTATTTATTCAAATTGATATTTAATTCAGTATACTTTTAATCTAGTTGCAGAGCTCTTATTTTTTTTTTCTTAATTGATGTTAATTTTGATATATCATTATTATGAATCTGTAATATAAAAGATGGAACTTTTAGCTTAATTTACTTAAAAAAGGGTCACAAAGTATTTCCAAAAATAAATACATTTTTTGTTTCAAAATTAAGTACAGGGTATTTGCCAGTCATAGCTTGTGCTGGTCTTAATTGCCGTTGGTTAATATTTATAGCTGTCTGTTTAAGAGCTGGTTACAGGGTATTTTGCAGTCATAGCTAAACTAAATCAATGTATAAATCTGGTTACAGGGTATTTGCTAGTCATGGCTTGTGCTGGTCTCAATTGCCATTAGTAAATCACATTTTGGAGCTGTTTACAGGGTATTTACCAGTCGTTGCTTAAGCTTCAAATAACTGTCGCCTTTAGTTAAAAAGCTTTCAAATATTTTGCATACATAACTTCTCGAGCGTAGGGCATTTAATTGTTTTGCAGGGCATTACCTAGTCGACTACTCGCCAATTTGGCAAATTCTCACCTGTTTTCTTTTGATTAAGTTGAGCTACCTGTTACCTGTTAAGTCGCTGACCTAACCCCCCCCTCTCCACCCCCTTTGTGCAAATACTATGAGTATCATTGTCATAATTTCATTTGGAATTTTTTCCCATTTGATTAGATTTTTTTCTTCGGTTTTTTCTTATTTTTTCGGCTATTTTCGACACTCCGCATACTAAATACACTCATAAAATTGTGTTTCTATATGATATAGCAGCTCGATCTAGTGCTGGCTTGTGGATCAGTTGAAAGTATAGCGAATAGTGAATGTTTTGGTCAGGATATCTTGAGGAACAGCTGAAGTGACGAATTTAGTAGCCCGATATTGATGGAAACGTTTAGTTTTAGCTTTATACCCTGAACCCATTAAAAATGGGTAAACAGGGTATATTGTATTTGTGCAAATGTATGTAACAGGCAGAAGGAAGCATCTCCGACCCCATAAAGTGTATATATTCTTGATCAGCATCAATAGACGAGTCGATTTAGCCATGTCCGTCTGTCTGTCCGTCCGTCCGTATGTATGAAGGCAAGGATCTCAGAACCTCTAAGAGCTAGAGAGACTTGAAATTTTAGCTGTAGGTCCTCCTAATCCCCGCGCAGATCGAGTTTGTTTCCGATATTCGATAACTTGCCTCGTTTCCAAGCTATCGATAAAAATCGTTAATATCGAAATCCTATTTTTTTTTGGAAATTTCGGTAAATAATTAGAGCTAGAGTCGCAAAACTTTATATGTAGCTTCTAGTAGGTACCTTTCATTATACCCTAGGGAAGAGGGTTCAGGGTATCCCCTAGTCGGGAGCTCCCGACTAGAACCTCTTACTTGTTTGTGTTGTTGTTGTTGTTGTGTGTTTGATTAGCTTCTGTTTGAACCGCATTCAACTCTTGAAGTAATATATATATGATAGATGATATTTGGGCATATATGGCAGACAGATATCATATATATGTTTATAATGTATGTGTATTGCATATTACTTTGGCTCAGTGCCCTGTCGGTACGTTTGATTGAATGGGGTTTCATTGAACAGGATTCGATTTGGCTGAGCTAATCGACATATAAGCATTATATATAATATATATATATATACTATATATATGCATGAATAGCAGAAATTGTCTAGTCATCATTTTGCTGGTGCAATTAGCTAATTGTATTGTTTGACATTTCGATTTGGTACACTGAGCAACAAAAAATGTGACTAAATATTAGAATATATTCGATTTGAGATATCTGAGACAAAGAATTGAAAAAATGGCAAGTTGCTCAAACACTTTTACTCATTAATCAAATAGAATCTTTTGTGTGTGTGTATTGGTAAATGGTTAAGTATTAGTGAGATTTTCTCCAAAAAGCTCTTGCCGCATTGCCCTTCAGTCAAGCGCTGAGCTTTAGGCCAACAGGCTTCGGTGTGTGTGTGTGCAGTATGCGTGAGAAAGGGGATTAATTATTTATTAAAAATTGATCAAAATAAATAGCTCTACTTGTTGCAAAGCAGCTGCCGAAGTCGGGCTACCTTATTTGAATTGTGAAATTTGGCAAGCAGGATTTTGGGTTTGTTATGTGAATGAACTTGCGATTAATTAAAATCCATAAATGATTATTATTTAATGAATGATTTAATGAATTGTTTATTTTGCGCGTCTTTCGACACGCAATTGTTTTGGCATTTATCAAATTTTAATAAAATAAACAACAAATACAAATACAATTATTAATCATGTGAATAACTGAACGGAATAAACAAATAAATCAATGCCAGCGGAATCCTTAGCTAGAGACATTTTCTAAGTTAGTCAGTAGGGTTGATTATGCCTAGTATATGGATTATGCCTACTATAAAGATTATGCCTAGTATGAGGTATAAGGTATGCCTAGTATAAGGATTAGGCCTAGTTAAGGGATTATGCTTAGCATAAGAATTATGCCTAGTATAAGGATGATGCCTACTATAAAGATTATGCCTAGTATAAGGATTAGGCCTAGTATAAGGATTATGCCTAGTATAAGGATGATGCCTACCTTAAAGATTATGCCTAGTATAAGGTATAAGGATTTTGCTTAGTATAAGGATTAAGCCTAGCATAGGGATTAATTCTTGTATAAATATTGTGCACCTGATTCCCTGTAATGGCAGAATTTTAATTTACTTTGAAACGTATTTTAACAAAAACGAGTTTGTTTCTCTCGGCAATTTCTATTTGAAAGTTAGTTATTATTTTAATTATATTTTTATTATACATTAAAAAATTGCAATTTTTAATATTTCAATATTAAATAGCAAAACTGTGTGTGGAAAACCAAAACAGCCGGGTTTCATATTTGTTTGTGTACACAATTTATATATATATTTTTGTTATAATAATATAACAATAATTTCTTTTTGAACTATTATTATTTTCATTAATATTATTTTTATATATATTAAATTTTATTTGATTTTCATATAAATAAAGTTTTGTAATATTTTTTCGAACCAGGCTGCGTTTAATTTTAGCTAAGACATCACACAACTCTCCACTTGTGCAACTAAGGCGAGACACACTCTGAAAGCTTTCAGCCAACGCACAAACCATAGTTGCTATAAAAAAAAGCTGACTAAACAGCACAGCTTGAACTAAGCGAGTCGACAGATGGCGCCACACAGACGATTTGCGCTGGATTCTTAAGGTGAGTTTTAGACAAGGTTCAAACTTGGTTCAAACATTTTCAAACTCAAAATGAAATATATATATATATATTGCACAGATAAGTGCAATAAATAACAGCATTATTTATTAATTGTTCCAATTAAAACATATTCAACTGAGTAACTTTTGATGCCAACGTCGCGAAATTCGGTATATTATACACTCATAATAATTATAATATTAATAAGATTTGTAAACGAGACCCGAAATAACGAAAATCAAAGTATTAAGAGTCAAAGTGGATAAGTTAAGCATATTATCTATTTACGGTTTGCTTGGCATTCGATTCTTGAGTTCTGAAAAGCCCTCAAATTTCGAACTCGTAAACCTCTTGACCACAAATTAAATCGGTTAAAATGCGCATCAGATGACAATACGAAAATGTTCCATTGCCATAACAATTGTTGTCTGTGTTTTCTTTTACCTCTGCGGGCTTTTGTAACAGGCTTTTCCGTCCATCTGTGTGTCTTCGAATCGGAAACCATGAGACTTGAAGTTTGATATAAATCTTCCCCTATATCTCCTATGTCTATGATATGTTCATATTTTATATAATATTGACATTTATTGTTCCACAGACATGTTTCTTTTAGGCATATCTCGAAAAATATTACAGCTAGATATACCAAACTTTGTATCTAGGCTTTTGTGTGTCATACACAGCTTAGGCATATTTCACTTAAGGAATCGAAAAAAAAAACTGTTTATCAAGCATTATAGCCTTGTGCTATAGAATATACACACTTTTATTTGTGTCCTGCAAATTTCATAAATACCCAAGTTAAGTAAGGTTGCTTAGTCCAAAGTGTGAAGCTATGGGAAGAAGAGGCGCAGCGTGTTGCTGTTTTCTGCTTATGTATTCAACGACATTTTGGCACCGGATTCAGGGTATCTGCTAGTCGTGCACTCCCAACCAGTGCACTGTTACCTGGATGCCTGCGAATGAAGTTGAGATGGTGGGGCAGGTAGGCAGGCAGGACACCGAGGATAACAGCAGCAGCAGGTACAGCAGGTACATCTGCGACAGCTGCATTGATTTCTATGCGAAAGGAAATTCGATAGCCGGTAACGTAGGTGACAGTTCCCTAAGAAAATGCGACTGACTGTCCTCTGCTCCCCTGCTGTCCATTTGTTTCCGTGTCCTGGCTGTCCCTTTGCTGTCGTGTGGCTCCGGTTTTTCTCTGTACCCTGTTGCAAAGCGATTGGCAAAGGGGTATACAAAAAAGTCTGAGGCACGCTATAAGTAATCTAAATTATTGGTCGGAACAAGCATATCCGGTATTTGTTATTCAATTTGCGATATCTGAACATTTGTCGAAAATCGATAGTTATCGATTTATGTTACCAAACCAGCTGTAAATGGCTAACAACACAACATTTGTTGTATAATTTCTCGTATGCCAAACGGAGCTGAAGTTTGTTTGATTTGTTTTTAACCTCGTTTTACTTGGGAAATAATTAATTATCGATTTTCAAACCGATTCTTTGGAGTTTATTCCGGAAAGCGGAAATTATAAATGAGTTTTAATGCTGCTCAGATAAATTACATATGTACATATATAAAGCATATTGTTGTTCATTTCACTTTTTGTTGAATATCGATAAATATCGATGTTCAGTTACCAATTTGTGTTTGCTATGGTTTTTGTATTTTTTTTACGGAGACGGGCAGTGTCCTCAGTCATCTCTATTCAGCGGCAAACAGGCGATCTGCCTGGTCCGAAACTCGATGTAATATTTTAAATCGATAAATATCGATTTCTAGACCCCATATATATCTGCCTCATATATGAGACGACTGAAAGGAGCACAGCTTTTGCTATATTCGTCCCAGCTGCATATGGGACGTCTGCCGGGTTGATAACTTTTCAAAATCGATAAATATCGATTTCCAGCTACCAATTTATTGTCCAGATTCTCATATTTAATACTGAGACAGGCCTACTGCCCAGCTGCATACAGGGCTCAAAAATGTAGTTGTATTTTTTTGAAATCGATAAATATCGATTTTTCACTACTTTTCACTATCACGCCAAATTTTATATGTGGACTCTCGTATTTAATGCAGAGTTAGTTATCGAGCTCGCCCTTCTCCCGCTCTTACCCGCGCTGCTGTAAGCGGGGCATCTGCTAGGTCGAGCATTGCCGACAAGTGCACACTTACTTGTGTTTCGCTCTCAAGCGCTTTTTGGTCGTAGACGACGCCAATTGAATTATGCGGCTGGCAAACAAGCAAAGTATACCCCTCCCCTCCCCACCCCCCTCTCTCTCTCTCTCCTGTTGTTACCCTCTTCAGCCGACCCCTCGGCGCCAACGTCCCCTCTTTGCACTCCGCACTACCGCAACGTCTGCTCAAATAAGTTTCTTTAGTCGTCCGGAATGGTCTCCGGCTTGGGGTCGGGTCCGACCGGGTCTGGTCTGGTCTGGTCTGTGCTCTGGTTGGGTTCGAGTCTGGTGCGGTTTCTGTTGCTGTTACTGTGCGCGGGCTTTGAACATTAATTTTAAACTTTGATTTACATAAATTGGCATAGATTTTGCATTTGCCAGCGCAGTTGGACGCATTTGGGAATGAGGACCGCGATGCCGACGCTGATTTGTAGCCGGCCGTGCTCTAATTTATAGATAAGCAAAGCGAGTCTGTCATAAAGCGAAAGAACAGAACAGAGTAGAAAAAAAAAAAATATTGGAATTGGAATTGCGGCGGTAATCCCGTCATTTGCACCGATATCTATCCCTATCGAAGCCGCCGCCGGGGCATATTCCCCCGTTGCCAAACTGGACTGAGGTGGGCAAATTGCTTTGCTTTGCTTATTTGAACAAGTGCAAAATTGCAAAAGCATTCAATGAACATCAAATATATCTATACCCTGTTACAATTTCTACAATATCTTAACGAAAGAAACTTTATAGTTAAATGGCAAATTCTGAAATTTCAGCCAGATTTGTTGAATGAGGAAAATTCGACTTAACTGAATCTAACTTAGACTCTTAATGCGCGAAAATATCGAATTAACTTAAAATAATCGATGACTCTTTAGGTTCTCATAAAATCGATAATAATCGATATCGACTTGTTGTTTTCTTCTAGAGCACACACAACTTTCAAATCTTTTGGAGTTATTGAATAACAGCCCCATTTTGCCGTTAGATAAGTAAATAAGTATTATTACAGCTATTAACTTGAGCTTTGGTATTATTAAAGAAGAAGCAAGCGGCGCTTGTGTGTGCGTGTGTGTGCGTGCGTGTGCGTGCTTTAGTATAGGCTAGTCGGATAGTCCGATTAGAGCACTCTTATCTGTAGAGTATAATATATATATAATATATTATAATGAAAATTGCAAGAAATGTGGAGCGATGCTCGTTGGGTTCACTTAATTTTTGGGGGCACTTTGTAGCTCTTGAGCTTTATTTTTGGGACTCAAGGCAAACGAGAATCGTTTGCCGATGCGTAGTTGATGCAGCTCAACGGCTCAGCAGCTTGACAATCCTCTGCCCGGCAGACCCATTCGCCTCCAGCCGGGTCCACTTGGGGCACTTCATTCGCTACGGGCACTTCGCCCACTATTAATTCGGGCTCCTGTTTCAATGGGGTCCGGGCCTCTGGCCTGTTGAGGTACGCACACACGCATAAATGCCGCTACTTTGCGCCTAAGTGTATTTGGTGTCTCTCTCTCTCTCTCTCGCTCTCTCTCTCCCTCTCTCTCTCTCTGTGAGTGTGTGTGGGGCTTGCTGCGCTACGTTTTGCTGCATACTAGTTGGGGCTGTCGTCAGCGGCGTGTGTCCATGCATTGTTTCGCTCTTATCTCTTATTCCGCACTTCCCACTCTCTCCCGCCGTTTCGCACGCTCTCTCTCTCTCTCTCTCGCTCTCTCTTTCTATCTCATTCTCTTTTCCTATTTTTAAAGTAAGCTATACCCATTGAATATGCTTTAAAACAAGGTATGTTCGTTATCATTTTCATTTTTTTTTTCGATAACTTTTTCCACTTGCCCCAAATCGATAAATATCGATCAGCTAATGCTCGTTTTTAGCCAAGTCTGTCAGTAAAAACGCGTTGATTTCGTGCCCCTTTCATATATTTATGCATAAATAACTATTTTCGTATATCCAAACGACCGGCAAGTTTCTCTATATATTAAATAAGTATCGATTAAAATCGATAAATAACTATTGTCTGCGTACGTGGCAGATTTTAAGCGCCAGAGACTCATAAATTTGGTTCACAATTGTAAGGGTAACATACACTGATGAATATTATATATATATATATATATATAGAATAGCTTACGAGTTGTCTTCTAAACCCAAAACCCAGGGTATCTTAATGCCGATTATCTGTATGCTTTGGCTTATGTGCATATTTTTGGCCTCTGATATTAACGGCGTTGAGCAGAGCAAAAGAGGAAGCAGCACAGCCGCTGCTGCGTGCGTGTGACTGCATAATAAGTTGCAGGGTATTTTTCAGTCGCACACTTTCAATTGCCAACGAGGCATTCGTGTGAAATTGTCAATATCAACTTTTATTCGCACTTCGCTAGTTATTTGAGCTGTGCTTCAGGACACTTAAAAGCTGAGTACAGGGTATGATCTAGTCATGCATTCAGGACAGGCGCTTTCTTGATTACCTACGCCCCAACATGAGCCATGATGGTTGTTTTAGCTGCTGTTGTTGTCGCTCTTAATAGCCATCGAGCATGGGATAGACGTCGCCATCATCATCCTCATCCTCAATATCCTCATCATCAGCATCATCCTCTGCGCCTGCTGCTGCCCAGGATGCATTCTAGGACATTGGTGGCGTCTAGTGTTTGCGTTTTTATTAGTGCGCACATCGAAATTTGTTTACTTTGAGGTGTTTTTGCCCAGCTGCTGCTGCCGCTGATTTGGCCACCGCTCGCTGGGATTGGGTCTGCTTAGAAAGTAGCTGCCATTGCTGTTGCAGTTGCTGCTGCGGCTGCCAGGCAATTTGAATGCACATGC